AAAAGTGGTTGCGTAATTTTGTAAATCCACCATTTAAAAAAGTTTATAGGAATACTATTAGATCAGTTGCTTTAAAAATTTTTTATTCATATAAACAAAATTTAATTTATATGTTATCAAATCTTAATTCTAAAGTTGCAATTACTTCTGATATTTGGACTTCTAAATTTAACATAAGTTATATTCGTGTTGCCATTCATTTTATTGATGAAAATTGGCTTTTAAATTAAAGAATTTTAAGTTTTACTAGGATTGAATGGCCACATATTGGCTCAACTATTGCCACAAGTATTTTAAATACTTTATATGCTTATGGAATTGATAATAAATTATTTTCTTTTAATTTTGATAATGCTACTAATAATGATTCAACAATAAATATTTTAAAATCTCAATTAAAACCATGTTTAAATGGTAAATTATTTCATATTAGATGTGCATGCCACATCTTAAATTTATATATTCAGGATGCTTTAAATATTATTTCTACTCGTATTTCTAAAATTAGAAATTGTATTATATATATTAAAAGTTATGGAGCAAGAAAACAAGAATTTAAATATTTATGTCAAAATTATGGTTTAAAATATAAACATTTATATTAGATGTTAAACATAGATGAAATTCTACCTATGCTATGTATTTCTCACAAACAAATTCTTTAGTGATTTTTGTAATGCAAAAATGCCTACTGATATTATATCTGAGGAAAATTGGGAAATGACAATTTGTATAAGAGAGAACTCGTGCAAATCTTTTATTCTTTTCAATATGATCACTGCCTCACTTTGAGTGGTGAAGCGACCTTCTTTGAAGCCACAATTGGAGGAACCATGGTTTTTTAACTGTCATTAACCTTGATGATCGGACCATTCAGCTCGAGACCATCTATGCAACCGGATCTATTTTACTCCAAACATGGTCCTTGGTCAAAACTTGTTGAATCAGTCAACGATCCATTGATCTGGGTGGTCGAACTGTCAATCCATTCAACGGTTTTTAGCTGTTTTTATTTTAATTTTTTGTTAAGGCAAAATATCTATCTTTTGGAAGTAGGGTTACATTGATTAAGAGCACCCTTTTCCAACCTCCTTACTTATTTTCTCTTTCTTTTCCTCATTCCAAACAAAATTGCAAATAGGTTGGAGCAACTCTAAAGGAATTTCTTATGGAGGGGTTGGGATGATGAAAAGAAGACTTACATTGTAAAGTGGGAGTCGGTGTGCCTTCCTAAGGAAGTTGGTGGGATATGAATAAGAAAGTTGAAGGAATTTAACTCTGCCCTTCTTAGTAAATGGTTATAGAGATTTGCTTTTGAGAGGAATGCATGGTGGAGAAGTCTTATTGCAACAAAGTATGGAGTGGTATGGGGTGATTAGAGATCTAAGGAGCCCCATCCAAATGGGGGTAAATCTCTGTGGGCAGGTATCTCAAAGAACATTCCTCTCTTCCTGAATGGGATCAGATTTAAGGTTGGTAAGGAGGATAGAATCAAATTTTGGAAGGATCCCTGGTTTTTAGAGGGTTCCTTGGCTGATGCTTTTCCCCTTTTGTTCCAAATTTCTGCGAATCAAGACTCTTCAGTTGCTGATAACTTTAGCATTTGTTGTGACTCCACTATTTGGACTCCTCTATGTAGGGGAAGTTTGTTTGATTGGGAGGTGGAAGAGTATGTGGTGTTTTCGGGGTTGCTTCAAAATTAGAGGATTGATTTGAGTTTAGATGATGAATGGTTTTGGAAATGGAATGCAGATGGTAGCTTCTCAGTTAAATCCCTGTTTCTTAAGTTGTGCGGATCAGGTCAAGAGAACTTTCCTGCCATACATATTTGGAATCCAACTAGTCCCTCCAAGATCAATTTCCTGGTCTGGACAATGACTCTTGATAAATGTCTAACCAAGACTAATCTGGAGAGACGTGGTATTCAAATTATGGATCTCTCCTATGGTTTGAGTGGAAAGATTGCAAAAACTATAAAGCACTTGTGTATCCATTGTTCGACTTCTTCTTCGGTCTGGGGGCATTTTCTAAAGGTTTTGGAGATTAGGTGGACTATGCCAAAATCTATGAAGGACCTATTGATGTGTTGGAGAATTGAGGGTCTCAACAAGAAAGGAAAGCTTGTTTGGAATACCATTCCGCTAGTTGTGCTTTGGTCCATTTGGACCGAAAGAAATAACAGAATCTTCTGTGGTCAATTCAAAAGTTTGGATGAAGTTGTGCAGAGAGCCGTGGGCAAGCTATGTTCTTGGGTGCCGGTGAATGATGAATTTAAAAACCAGATTGTATCTCTTTTTTTCTCTAAATCATGGATGAACTTGTAATCTGTATTGGGCCCATAGTATTAGTGGTGTGGACCTTGTTGTATCTCTCTTTTATGTTCTGAATAAATTATTTTACCTTTCTAAAAGAAAAATCCGTTTGCATCCGTAGCGGGGTTTGAAAATATAATATATATAATTATAAAACATAATTTTATATATTATACCATATAAATTAATAAATATATATAATATAAAAAATAAACTCAATATTTCATATTTATATATTAATTTATTATATATAAGTTAAAAAAGTAATTAGTTTTTAAAATTTTCTTTAGTTTAAACAAAATAAAGGAGGGATTACATCCGAATCCGATCCGAGTTCTTCACATATCGAATCGAACTCGGGTTCGGATGTTGCTGCATCCGATCCGTTTACGCCCCTAACCGGGCGTCGTGACCTGGGTCCCTTCCCTAGTACCTACACGTGCCTTTTTCTGGAGCGATGACTGTTGGCTGTAGCCGGCCTCTGTCGGTGTCCACTGACCAGTGTCCACCACTCGAGTACTTGGTTGTTTCATCAATCAATAAATAAAAACAAATCAAGCTCCCTGACTCGTGAGATCAACGTAGCTGCTTACGAATCTTGACGATAAGTCAGTGTACCCACTACCCACTACCCAGTAGTCACCCATCGATGGCTGCGAACAGAAGATAAGACTATTATAAGGACTCTCTCGGTCTCTCCTTTCGCCCACTCAAAATTTCTGTTGCTGAGATCGAATAGAGATAGATACAAGAAATTGATAAATTCAAAGTGAAACTCAGTTCAAAAAGCGTTATCTGGTTTTTTGGAAAATGGGTTCATCGAAAACACTGAGGAAATTGCAGGTTGTGTCACCTGTCCCTGCAGACATCGACATTGCCAACTCGGTTGAACCTTTCCACATATCAGAGATTGCGCAGCAGCTCAATCTCAGCAGCAACCACTATGATCTCTACGGAAAATACAAGGCCAAGGTGATTTACGTGCGCCCCACGAGTTCGTTGTTTTCTCTCTTGTCTTATTTCGCTCTCTGTTTTTTTTTTTTTTTTTGGGCTTGAGTCTTGAGACTGATCTATTGCAATGATCTGGGTGCTTCTGTTTTCCTCTTGAAGGTCCTTCTGTCTGTGCTCGATGAGCTTCAAGGATCTGGAGATGGGTACTATGTTGTGGTTGGAGGCATCACTCCTACCCCTCTTGGAGAAGGCAAGTCTACTACTACAGTCGGTCTTTGTCAAGCATTGGGAGCTTTTCTTGATAAAAAGGTATTCTGTTCTGCCTTGTTTATTAAAACCCATTTTATAGCTTTTCATGTACTAGTCCAATCTACTTCGTAATATCTCTTCTCTTCTAATTACCGAAATGTAAAAACGAAGATTGATTTCGGGTGTACTAGAGTTGGGTCCTGAAAGTAGGATTTAGTCTTTGCTATATGTTTGATCAGCTATGAGATGTAGTGGCATCAATTGTCCAAACTCATATTAATTAGTTGTAATGGAAGTCTTGTTTTCAATATCCCACTCCCAGTGAAATGATTAACTATAAGGCCTCTCTTGCAGCTTGAAGCGAAGCATGATTTTCATTCATAGTATCAGATCTTGATGCTTTCGGTTCCTACTTTACGCTTCTAGACATTTCCATGAAATGAATGAAATTATTGAACTCTCTAATAAATGTAAAGGTCGTTGTCATTATTTATTTTTGTGGCGGGAAATAGGGGGAACCTCTTATCATTAAGGAACAGAAATTAAGCCCTGAAGTTCCCTGTCCTACAGAATTCCATAATGAC